TGAGCGGAAGCCTTGAGATTAACTGAAACGGAACTTGAAACTTTAAAATCGTAAAGTGAATAAATTTTGTATATTGTTTTTTTTCAGATCCCTGTCGGTGATAAATACTCTTTCCATGACAGCTTCAGCTCCCTGATCGGGCTCGGCGCCTATGGTGTTGTTTTCAAGGGCCACGACATTGGCAGCCAATCACCGGTGCGTTTTTTATGGTGCTGCGTAGTGTTACGTAGTTTTGGTTTCCGGGTTCCATTGAGTAAACCGGGGGACAAAGCCGGTGAAATCCAAGTAAAAATGTAATCCGGCGCGTCGCTCTGTTTTTTCGGGTTAATCGGGGCTTGGAGTTGGGTCTTAAAGCTACCATTCATTAATCCGAAATTAGTCATAGACTTGGGGTTGCTGTATAATCGGATGACTACATGATTTCATGGAAATTTCGGGGTTTCAAGGGGCTTCGAAGGCATGAACCTATGGATTCTTGATTTCTACCGTACTTGCAAATCTTTATACATGGTGTTTCCGCTTAAACACCGTACTGCAATCCGTTACGCATTGGAAAGACACCCTCGCGCGTCGCGTGTTGCGGTTACTCCAAAATCTTTTGGGAAATCCATAGTGACAATGTCTTGTTGGCCCCTTTAAAGGCGCTTAAAGGCGCTGGTAAGGATAAAGAAAAACACTCCGCGAGGTCAGGCATCACTAGATTTGCCTTCTCATTCCCTTTAATTCATCCATCACTCCTACCGTATACTCTATTCAAATTCCCTCCACCACCCGGGGTGCTCTCCGAACCCATGTCACCCTAAAAAAACCCAAGAATGCCCTCCACTTAATTTGCTGGGCCTGCGCCGATCACGCGGCCCCAAGCGTGGCCTGCCAGCTTGAAGGGCACCCAAATGCCAAAAAACTGGGCTTAATATGCTTGTGCCCCCCGGCTGGCCCTTCTGCTCCAGTCATTCCCCGACCCTGATGAATGTGGCCCCATAGTCAAAGGCCCTTTTTCGAGCAATGTGGTCTGAAAGGCGCCCTCCTTTGTGTTTACGCAGAATGAGAACGGCTCGCGCCAGCCCTCGGGCCCTCGGTCCTTTTTGGCCCTTCGCCGTTTTTTTTGGGGGAAAATAAAATTTGCTCGAGGACCCCGGGGGGAGGGGGGAGGGGGAGAATCCGAGGCTTCACCCCCTGCCGAATCGCGCTGACGTCAATATGGGCGCTCCCGAAATGTGCGGGCCCACTTGAAATTTTGCAGAAGCTTGAATTTCCGGTCTGGGCGCTGGAATTTGGAGAAAAGGGGGGAACAGGAGAAGCGGGATCAAAAAAGTAAACTGACGCCTTTGCGGGTTTGACCCCGGTACCAGGGGTTTGAAAAAGCAAACAAGACACTAGAATCTAGCTAAACTGAATTTTAAGGGGCCATTGATGGCAAAGTTGCATTAATTTTTGAGAGTTGAAGAATATCCATAAAAACGTCTCTCAGACTACTAAAAATACAACGCTTTAATTTCAGTTTGCTAGCTGATTTAAAAGCAAATGGTCCTGTTTCTGGTGAAATTGCCAAGCCAAAAATTGAAGGATTAATAGCGCAATTTTACACGCCAGAAAAATACTATTACTCCGCTTGCAGGTAGCCGTCAAGCGCCTCGCCAAGATGAACATCAAAGACCAAGAGCTCAAGGTCATAAAGTCGCTCAAGTCCAAGTACCTGGTCGGCGTGCTCGACATTTGCGACATTGACCCAGTCACAAGTTGTGTCGTGATGGAGCTGCTGGATACGGATCTGGAGAACCACCTGGAGAAGAAGGCACCAAATGGGAGATTGACACCAAAGAACTTGAGGTAAGCACCGTTTATTGGAAAGTGAAACTAAGTAGCACAGTAGCACCAGTAAGATAATGACGAAAACCGATTACGAGGTGTATTTGGCATTTTCGATCTGATGAAGCGTGTCTTGGACCTCGGCGACGTCTTTGCCACTGAAAAGAAACAAAAATTAGCATATCAACCGTTGAATTCTAGTTTTTTTTTAAAATTTATTTATTTTCAGGTTGATCATCGACAACCTGGCCCGAGGTTACAAGGCCTTGAATGAACTTCGGATCGTACATCGTGACATAAAACCCCAAAATATCCTGGTCTCCTATGCCTCTTCAAGCAGTCGCGAGTTCATCCACGCGAAGATCACGGATTTTGGTGAGTTTTAAAGGGGTAGAGAAGGTAGAGCTACGAGATACCTTGAGACACAATTTCTAACGATTATATACTCCATTGTAGAGTCTGGTCTAGAAGGTAATTTGTCTCTTACGCAGCATGTCAAAATTGTATACGAACCGACGCACCATGGCAACCAATTAAATACTCAAATTCTAGGCATCGCTCGAACCATCGGTGAAGACGCACTGTGCAACGTTGCCGGCACGTTCTACTACATGGCCCCAGAGGTCGGAGCAAATCTCCTCAAAACCTGCCAATACGACTACAAGGTCGACATGTGGTCGATCGGCTGCCTGATCTACCAATGTCTCACCGGCATGGTGAGTTTTTACCGCATTACTCCACCCAAGGAGCCTAAGAACGGCTAGCGTCTTGAAAAACGGGTTGGAAAACTGGGTATTCCCCAAGGGCAAATTTAAATGGGGCCCCCGTCCTTGTTGGGGTCGCATTTTGGGGGTGAAGCGGAAGTCGCTTGGGTGAGGCGCTGGAATTGGGTTTGCTATACATGGATATGGGTAGGAAAACGTGGTATATGGAAAAACTAGACAAGGGAGAAGCGGAAAGGCTTTGAAGGGACTGGCTGGGCAGGCCGGTGGAATCTGGGTTTATGAATTCAAATTTTGGGGTATGGGCGCCACGAGTTTACGTTCCTTTACATTGCGTAATTGATCGAGCACGCGTTGAGTCTGGCGGAACTCAAGGTCCATAAAGGATCCATAGACATAAAATCAGCGCTTGTCCCTTTAAACAGACAAAGGATACATCAACGGAGTACTTAATCTCAATTTCTAGGTCCCCTTCGACGAGCGCTACATGTGTCGCATGTTCCTCTTCACCGCCGGCCACAACTACGACGCCTACGATTACCCCGATCTTCCGGAGGAGACCTCGGACTCAATGTTCGAGCTGATCCACAGTCTGCTGGAGATCGACCCGGCGAAGCGCCCCACCCCGCAGGAGTTCCACGACTTTGCCACCGCGTACTCAGAATTGACGGTTATCGAGGCTCAGGTGTGATTGGTTGACGGTACTGTGTGTAGCCTTGTTTTTGTACTTTCCGGTTACGGTATACGAGAGTGTCCTTTATGGTTTATGACCTTATCATTCCGAGAATTTGAAGCGTTGCGCTAAAAACTTACAGACTAGTAGCTCATAAAAATCAAAATTTTTACGGATTAAAAACACATAAGAATTCAGATACCTCTTGAGGTATCATGAGCTAAGATGTTGGAGCTTTGAATTTTCTAAAAGCCGGTTTTTATGCACATTTCTAGCGCAACACTTTACCCCCTGACAACCCCATCCATTCCCAGTCCCCCGTAGATCGCTAATTCGCCTAGGAAATGTGCCAAAGAATGTGGTAATTCCATCAATGTACACTGTACACTTTATTCTTCGTTTCATTCTCCGTTCCACCACCCCCAAACAAGCTTTATCCAATGCAATTTTCGCCTAAAAGCATTCCCATCTCCCTGTCCGCCCCAAAAGTTCCGCTTCCAAAGGGGAAAATTTAGTTTAGCAATTTGTCTATTGTCCCTATTGTCTCTCCTTACCTATTGTATCCAATTTCCGGCTGTTGAAATGTATCTACTTCCCCCCAAGCATCCCCCTTTGCCCCCATCGTGTTAATACATTTTCGGGTTCATCAGCAGAGCGTCGAGTCTATTAGTGTGGTTGGTTTCCAGTTTCAGGTTTTGATAAAGTTTTTTTGGGAATTTGTTACGAGAAAATACGCAAATACTACACTACAACCCGGGCATAACGTTAAAAAACTCCACTTAAGGCCCGAAAATGCAAAAATTCAAAATTATCGGCAAAAACTGCTTTGAAAATCCTTACATATCTCCAGCAGTTGCAAATTGCTCATGCAGCCCGTCAGCTAGCTGTTCAAGCCGTTGAATCGCCTGAAAACTTTTCATGATGTGTATTTTTGCCGCGATTTTTAAGCCGAAAACGATATTGTACCTGTGCCGTGCACTCGATCGTATTTTCCTGGGCGACAAACTGCTTCGTGGCGGTGCCGAGGAGCTAAGAAAAATAGAATTTAAAGCAGAACTCGGCAAATTTAAAAATTTGCATAAAAATTTGCAAACCTCATTACTCCCACTGGCCGTCTGTATATGCGACACCAGCAAATTTGCATCGCAGACAACGTCGTGCATCTTGTTGGGCAGCTTTTCTTTGCTTTCCAGGCTAACTTTTGCGGCTTTTTGGGACATCTTTCTCCTTGGATAAGCTCTTAAAAATTATATTAAAGCTTGAATTTTTGAAAACGCATTTAAAAAATGATAAAAACTTTTTAGGTAGCTAACGTTAAATTTTCGAGTAAAAATATGATTAATTCGCTTAGATAACGACAGCCAAAACTATATATTTCCAACGTCACATGTCATTGCCATCTCGAAAATATATTTATTTCTCTCAAAAAAACAACATTATTTCAGGAGAAACCAATGGCGTGGCCATAAATTTTCTTTGGGCTCAAAAGGGCGGCTAGAATGACGGATGAGAATATCACATATCTTGGGAGACAAGCCGGACCAAAAATAATAAACACATTTGTCGACGTCCAATTTTTTTCAGAATATAACGGAAAACACCCGGGTGACAGGGAAATTATACAATTTTTAGGTGTAAAATAGCAAAACTAATACTGATGAATCCTAATATGCAAATTTTCAAAAAATAAAATGAGTCTTGGGAGGGCAGTGGCCTTGCGGGAATTCGACTCCCATTAATGCACGAATGTCAATTCAAACGGGGGCACGAATCGAAGAATCGAAGTCGATCGATTATGCCGCCTCACGATGTTTGTCACGTTTGCTCATCCGCATAAACGAGAAGAAACCACGCTTCTTCTTCTTTTTCGTCTCGGATTGGGTGATTTGGGGTGCCTAAAGGTATCGTAAATGGTAGGAATATGCAGATTTACCTCATCCTCTGACAGCGCCTGATTGGATCTCGTATTTGAGTGACCTAAATTTAAATCATGTCAATCAATCCATTTGAAAGACAAAAATATCGATTTTTCTACAAATTTTAGCCGAAAATTGGCATCTATGAGCTTGCACGGCATTTTCTCAACTTATTTTTTTCACTAAGGTCTCTCGAAAGTCTTTATGAAGCTATTCAACAGTTTCAAACCAAAGTGCGGATTTTGCCACTACGCTACGCTACAAAATCTGGGTGCGACAAGTGCGATTCTGGTGGCGCTGCAGGACTATCACAAAAAATAGGCAATTAGACGAGTGTCACCCCAAACGGTGCGTTGTAAAGGAGCTTTTGGAAGACAGCGGGTTCAAGCTGTTCAAATCGATAGTCGAGACTTGTAGTTTTTATTTTTTTCCATCGATTAGTACAACTCGAGCTTGCCTCCAAAAACCCAAATTGACAATACAACACTCACGATATCGTCGGGAGTCGATGCGGCCGAGGTGGGACGGGCCGGCGCTGTGGGACCTCGGCGTCGAGCGGGCTTTCGGAGGGCCGAAAGACACCTCTAAACACGCTACCGTATACCATTGGGTGCTAATCGGAATTGTGCAGCAGGCGTGCCATGCGTTTTTGTGAAAGAAATTAGGGCGGGGGAGTGAGGTGCAAGTGACTGATAACACCCTTAAAAAATATTGGGATGGAATTTCGCGATAATCGCAACATTTTGCTGTATGCATAACCTTGTGGCGTACGTTGCGCTACACACGAAACGTTCTTCGAGTTTTTCATCTTCTTACCGCTGACGTCCAGTGCCTTGGATTGCGATAGCTCGTCCAGACCGTAGGACGATTCCTCGCGCATCCGGTGCTCCCGGGCCCCTTGCATCAGGAAGCCGTATCTGAACACACGGTTGAACCCGGAAAGGCATCTGGCTAATACAAACGGAATCCAAAGGACGGTAGACAAAGATCCGGAACTCTGACAGGAAAAAGACAACGTGTAGCGAATGAAGCAAAACCTATCGGTGACGACGTAAAATAGCTACCGAGAAAGTACAAACCATGGATTATCCTGGTTTTGAAGTATAAAAGCCGTAGTTTGTATTCTAGCGTAACTCATTTCTCGATGTCTACCGTAACCCTAAGTCCCAACAAAGCCCAAGCACATAGGTATATTTGGTTTTCGCTGGTGGTAGCTTACTTTTCTTGGGGTATCTGTCAATTCTAAAGTAGTGGCTGGATAGAGTTCAATAGGTAGAAGGGTATCAAACCTGCTCCCGGACTGTCCGGTTCATCCGGCAAGTCAGCATCGATCGATGTACCATTCGTCAGATCGGAGCGGAACGTACTGTAACCCGCATCCCGGGACGAGGAGGGAGCTCTAGCAGAATGGCTACGTGGGGACTTGGCTTCAACCTGGAGGGAGATGAACAGGATGTTGAACGGATTAAGGTGTTTTACCTCCCTAAAATACTTCTTTATATTCTCATCAGTTTCTGATGAAAATGGATTTGGAGCGTAGAGTTGGCGGTAGACCTGAAAAAAACGTCTTTTTGGGCCACAGGCTGTGATTTCTAATCAAGAAAGCTGCGACATAAATCAACATAAAAATCCAATTGAAAACTAGGATTTAATACCTGTGCATTATGTTGATGCTGTCGATCGATAATTCCTTTAGAAGCTGTTCCTATCATTACGAAGCGATCGGCCGGCCCGGCTAGCGAGTCGCCGTAGCTCTGAAAAATGCGATTAGGTCGCGTAATTAAATTAATCGTAATTCGATGAGAGATGTGGTGTAATCGATTATAGCTATTACCCAGTTAAATACTTACATTTGCTCTTCTCATATCTCTAGCTTCTTGGTAGGTGGTCCCATCAAGAACTTGTGACTGTGGTCCTGCTGACGTTTTTCCACGGATCCTATCTTCCTTGATAGCTCTTTGCTTTTCCTGAACATAACTTTGAGGTTTGATCCACAAAATAGATCCTAAACATCATCTAATAATAAGGCATCAAACCTTAAACTCCTTCGGGTTCATGCTCAAGGGTGAAAATTGTTGAGTTCCAGTGATTTTTACTGGAATCCCATTACTGGAAGTGGCAGAGATGTCTTGGACCCACTAAAAAAAATACTGAAACTCTGCTCAACGAGCACCAACCTTTGTAATCACTTTCGGACGATCGCTGCCCGATTCCAAAAATTCCACCTTCTGATAGGCGTTCGGGGAGTTGAGCCATCGAATTTTTTCCTGTTCTTTTCGCAGTAGGGCAAGCTTGTGAGCGGTGAGGGCTTCGGGGTCGGATTCATCAACCTAGATTATCGTAATTCTAGCAGCGGTTGATGGTAACTTACGGATCCATAGGAAGTCGCCACTGGAGGAACCGCAACATCCAAATTTATTCTGGCGCTTGTTGCTATGGGCGATCTTTGGCGAATTAGGGGTTGACGGTAAAGGTGACCGGTTCGGAAACCCTTAATAAAAATATAGCAGGAGCATGGCTAGAAATAGAGAGAGAGAGAGCGAAAGAGAGAGAGAGAGAGAGTGAGAGTGAGATCAAACCTGACTTACCGAAGTGTCCAGCACTCGCATCCAAGCCTCCCATTCTAGCTCCCCGACTTTCCATTCCGTCTGCTCCGTATTGTTGTTTCTTGATGGTGATCGAAAAATTCCGCCTTTAAAAGTCTCACCGAATTTTCGCTTTTTCATACCTTGTCTAGCAGCCAAAAATGTCTTATTTACCGTCGCTTCATCAGGGATGTGCAAATTTTCAATCCCGGCTCGAGCTGCCCGAATCTAGAAAAATGGTTTTTAGGCAATTAAAATATTTTTGCAGCCATCCGCCATTCACCCGAAAATGATCGATCAATTTTCCGTTCTAAACCTGATGATCAGCAGCCGCGATCAAATTTTTGAGAATGAACACAGCCTCCTCAAAAGACGGATGGGCGATCAAAAATCCCCAGCCGCGTAGGATTAAAATCTGAAATTTTTCAGCTGGTTCATTTTAGCTAAAGGGGCAGCGACACGTCTAAAAGCGATAGAGGCGGAAGATAGAAAGTTTGAACTTATCCGAATCATGCATTTTGGGGTGAATGGAAGGCCTTTTAAAGAAGGTCTTAGCACCTGCGTCTCACACGCTAGAATCGTGTTGTAGGCAAAGTGGAGGGTTTCTTCGACGGAAGAACCGCAGGCTACGAATCCTTGATTTCGGACGATCATCACCTTTAAAGGGGCGGTGAAGGCAAAAGTACGAGCTCTCGGATCTTTCTCTCTCTGTCTCTCTTTCTTTCTCTTTCTTTCTCTGTCTCACTTGTTTTCCGCGATATACGCTTTCCGTTCAAACCCCCTTTTTTTCTAATCGGTCTTTCTTTCCGATGGCTTTTCAGAATCCTAAAATTTCAAAGATATTCAAGTTTCATGCAAAGCTGGCTACACAGAATTCTATAAAATCATGCAGATTTCAAAAACTTACATTCTTATCACCAAGACTCTCCAATATACTGGCTTTTTCTTTTTCATCATCTAGATTTCCCTAAAAAAAATCATCAAAACATTACTGGGATTATCTTACTTGATAGTCATGATAAGCCACCGGCCCTATGACCATCGCTTCGTGACAGAGGGGCAGTAATCCACATTTCATGGATGATACAGCAGATACGACAGCGTTATGCATGTGGATCACACAATTTACATCTTCACGGGCTGAATGGAGAGCGGAGTGCAGGGCGAAAGCAGCCTAAATAGGATACATCGAAGACTAAAGGTACGCTGAAGGTATTTAGAGCTATGGCTTGTGATAATAATAAGAACAAAAGAGGATAATGTTCCAAAATGCTATACAAAATCCCAGCTAGCGAAGATCGTTTAGGAATTAATTCAGAACATGAAATCAACATGACGCAGTTAGGTAAATAGGTAATAAGGTAATAATATCATTAATCTACCTCATTTATGCCCAGCTTTGTCGTGCCCGGGTCCAAAATCTGCCCATCCAGGTCGACTTTAATCAGGGACGAAGCGGTGATCTCGTGGTACAAAAGTCCAAATGGGTTGATCAGGATCTCGCTCGGGTTCTCGGGATGCCGAACCTATAATTAACTACTAAAAAAATGCAGAATAAAATACATACCGTAATATGATTGTAGATACCCTGACTCCATTGGAACAAATCGACAAGGCGGTAGAGGGATGCGAGTTTGTTTCGAAGGGCTTTCTCTTGTTTCGAGTAGGTTTCGACACCTTTTAGATCGGCGATGGGTAGTGTCGATGCCCCTGAAAATCAAGCAAGTTATGCATTAATGGGAGGTGCGTTTCAAAGGAGCTATGAAGGTAAAAGTAAAAACCTCTTATAGATAACTTTCGGTCAGGTACTTTAAATCCATTTTTTGAGGAAAAAAACAAAGAAAACGCCAAAAAGAGTTGGGAGGAATCCGGAACGGAAAAATCCCAGATATTCCCACCCGGAAATCGATGGCTTAGCTGCCGTTTTGGGGGAGGCCTTGTTGGCCAGTTAGTGAGGGGCCAGCCAGCCGCAGGGCCTTCTTTTGAGGGGGGAGGGGGGGGGGAATGGCAGATGGTTGAGGTGCCGATGGGACCGAGAGATGGCAAAACATGATATTAATAGCTATTCAAAGGGAAGGGTCTTAAGAAGATGTATTTTCATGCCTATAACATTAAATTAAGAAAAACGGGTCTTTTAACAGGATAAATTATGCGAATTCGAGTAACAACCACCCCATTTTTTACAAAATGAAAGACCATAAAACGGAAATATCACTATCGGATTACGGTGTTAAATATCTTATGTAAGATGACAAATCAGAATGTCCAAACATCGACATTATGAAATATCGACCTGAAGTAATTTTGACGTTACAACAGCAAATTGAACCTAATTGATCTAATAGCCAGAAAATTTAGACTGAATTGTTTTTAACAAGACAAAAATAAAAATTGAGAGAATGGCGTCTCAGCAAAATAATAGGAAATCTAACTACCACAATATAACAAAGCCTTAAAAGTTCTAATTTCAATGTTAGAAAAATAAAAAAAACTATCGCAAAAACCCACCCAATCCATGCATCGGGCTCCTCATCGGACTCCTCGGCAATGCCAATTCGGAGAGTTTTTGCAGAGATATTGATCGATTCTCCTCCTCAAAGCCATGCCTAGAGCTGTCCATGTCTTGACGAATCACCTTAAACCAGTCAGAACACTAAATTTTAACCAAAAAAAAACCAACCTCCTCCAGCTGGTTGCAAAAATCCTTGTGCTCCAGCACCTCCTGGACGCGCTTTCGCCGTTCCATCCCCGTCAGATCCGCCTGGAAAATACGATTTTTCGATTTAGGCGTGGGTGTTGGGGGTGGTGGATTGGCCCAATTCCGGCGCCCATTTTTCGGCCCCAACCTTAATAACGGCCGGCCGCTGCAGATCTTTGATGTAATTCGGGTCCTCCGGGTCAAACGGCAACGAGCGTTCCCTGGAGAATTAACGATATTGGATTAAAGGTATGGAGAAGGAATGCCCGATCGGTTTTTTGTCAAGGTGATTTGTTGGCGGTTAAGGTATCGATCAACCAAAAGTGTCATCATGATCAGCGCGCGGGGGCGATCATTACTTCTAAAACCATTCCTTCTAAAACAGTTACTTCTAAGAGTTGGTACGTCAGATTATCAATTTTTAGGCGCGTTTTGCCATATTTATGCCCAAATCGAGGCTTAGAATTCTTGAAGTAACGATTTAGAAGTATTGCCTTTTAGAAATAATGACTTTAGAAGTAATGCTTTAAAAATTAATAATTTAAAAGTAATAGTGGGTAGCCAACCGTCCCTTTACATCAATCCTTTAATCAAATTAGCAGTCAGGAAAATTTCTTACCTCTTCGCCGGACTCGCCGACGTGGCCGCCATCCCCTCTGGAGGCGTCAGTTTAGTATCGCCAAGCCTATAAAACGTAGCTTACGTGTATAAAGCTTATGAATTCCAAAAACACCTCCAGGAAATCAAGTGGGTGCGAAACTTTTCGCATGCATAACGCATCTGGTGCCCCGCTTTGGAAACTCCACCGCTTGGGAAAACGAGAAGTGGAGGTGGGTATCAAAAATAGAGATCCGGAATTAAAAATTCTCTTAAAAATAGATTGGAACCTTGGCAATTGGCCAAAAATTTTCTTGAGGCAATATTGATCAAACATTTTATTGCGAAAAAATGAGAGGGCGGTGCGGGGTTTTTATGAGGTCATATTTGCACAGCATGATGCCGGGATACCGCAGAAATATGTAAAAACAATCCAAAAATAATGAGAAAGAAGTCAATTATGTCTAAGCCACGAAAAATTGGTTTCTGGTGAGGTTCAAAGAGTAATCCATAAGCAGTCACGATTGCAAAGGACCGTTGAATCGAATAAAATTTAATTTGCAGCTTTGAATTCGAATAGAGAGGGAAGAAAGATTTAATAAAAATTGGGAATGTAACCATAATATTCATATTTATATGTTATGTGGCTTCACAAAGGCGTTAGCCAGTTTTTCCACCTACGAAGTGCCAAACAATAAACCCCACGGATGCGCTTGGGGGGTTCTGGAGATAAGCTCGACCGTGGAATGGGCTGAGAACGGCCATCGATTTATCGCGTCTAGATGCGAGGGCGACACCGCGGAACGACCGAATTTATGCGCACGTTGAAAAACAGTGAAAAACGCCTGAAATTCCAGAGAATCGGGCAAAAACCGCCACCAAAAATTCAGAATTCACCGTAAAATCGGGAATTGTCCCTCCATTCAAATATTTAAAGTTCAATAGCTCCAAAATTCAATCCGAAGGGGAATATTGAAAAATTTTTAATTTTTTTGTTGGCTTTAATGTCTTCGGACCCTATCTGCTAAGAAAGCCCGGACCCAAAAAAGAACCGGATTCGAGAACCAAAATCTGCTGAATTCACCGGAAAACGAGCCAGACCTATTTTCAAATCACGGCATTCAGCGAAAAACGAGACCCAGCTAATTGTTTCGATTTTTCAGCTGCTCGTGGCTTTAAAATTGATTCCTATAAAGGAGACCGAATCCGAAAAAAAGCCGAATTCGGAGCTCAAATCTTAAGGATTCCACGGAAAAACGAGCCTCTGCGATCTTTTTCGAATTTTAGACTTGGAGGGTCTAATGCAATCCTATGAGAAATCCTGGCCAGAAAAAAAATCTCAAATGAAGCACAAAAAGCTCCATGAGTCTGGCCTGTCGAAATATTCAACAATGCCCGCCCGTAATTCCTTCCGCCATCGGGTGGGGGCAAAAAGGGACCCAATCAAAATTGCACCTGGCCCCAAATGGAGAGGGCAAGAGGGGAGGGGTTCGATTAAAATTGCCGTAGTCAGATATGGAATTGAAGAAGCTTAAATGGGCGGTGGGCTTTGAAATGGAAAGTGCTTTTGGGGTAGGTAAAATTAAAGGTACCTAGAAGTGGGATTCGATGGATTTTATGCATGGTATTTTGGGAACGATAGAACGATTGACGAAGGCTTTAAAGGCCAGCTCAACTTACAACAAGTGCTACATTGTATAGAACTCTGTAAGCAGGACGAAAGGTAAGGTGGCCCCTGGGCCTGGGCCCCCGGAATCGGCCGAAGATTTCATAAGGGGGACCCTTATGATTTTATTTTCTCGTAATTTTAGGAGCATGCGGCGCTATTTTTAACAAGTTTACTGCTATTTGTAGAGCTATGTAGCCTTTTCCAACGATTTTCGCCTGCGGCTGTTTTTCGTTAATTTTTTGAGTTTTCGAAAAAATTTTTCGGCCCCCGAAATTTTTTTTTCGGCTACGCCCCTGTAAGTAACAGCTAGAAAAGCCAATTCAAACACAAAATGGCTAAAATTCCACGACTGCTAAAGGGCCAGTAACAATACAACCGTTTAATGGCCGACGATGTCTAGATAATTCGTAGTCTCCAAAAAGGCGCACTTTTTTAGCTGCTAGATGTTAGTTCGCAGGTTTTTGACGTCAAAAGCGCAAAGCAATAACACGTATTAGAAGAAAGAGAGTTCAAGATTGCAGAAATAATGCGAAAATTGCACGACAATCGGCCCAAAAGGCGCGTATGTTGCCGTATTCAGGTGCTGAAAATCGGCTCGTTTCGGGCGGCTCAAAACCCGATAACGTTAACAATGAAGCGCGCCATATAAAAAACGGGCTGAAACTAACGGATGGATGGGGATCGATAAGGCTTGTTTTTTTCCGATCCAGAACTAGAAAACGATTAGAACTTCGTAAAAATTCACATCCAAAACTCGAAAAAATCAGATTCTCGTAGACTAGAGACGCTTTATTTCAAAGTTGTTACGATTTTCTAAGCTGTGTATGATGCTCCAAAAACTATAAAAAACGGTAGGCAAAGATTGCAAAAGCATCAAAAATTTTAAAAACAAATGGTTTTTGAAAATTCGAGGGTGAGAACGGGGCTCTGAGCTCAAACACGTCCAAACATTTTTCTGAGGTTCTGGATGAAAAATGTTTGCCCTTTTTGGAGAAGATCTGTTGTGTTGGGGATTGAAAAAGGCTGTGCTGGTCCGAGGGCAATCACCAACGGGCTGGTTGGTTGGGGCTGTGGTAAAGTGGGCGAGGAAGAGCCGTGTGTTCCCACGGCATTAACCCGGCAATTTGTCCCCAAAATGGGCTGCGCTTCCCGCTGACTCAGGCGGGACTGGGCCTCCGGGACCCTGATTTTCTCCCGGAAGTTGCTTGAATGTTCGGC